ACCCTGTGGTACCCACATCTACTCTTGTTGGCATTAGTTTTATTGGTTAGATTCCAAATACAAGTGAGGACACTGTAGTACATGCACTTCTGTGCTAAAAGCCTGGAAAAACCAGAATATGCACCCCATGTAAGACATAAGAATCAATGAGAAGAATGATTTTGTCCAGGTGTCTTTAACAGTTCATGCTGAAGAACAATCTCAAGAAGATAGAACCACTCGCCTTAATCACAACACCCCCATGAAGAACGAAAAACCAGAATGGACTAGAAATGGGGCTAGAGGCGAGACTCAACAGGGCAGAGACCGGTGGAGTCTCTTCCATGAGGTTCGGGCAGCAGATGCCCAAGGAGGCCACAGCCAATGTCAAGTCTTCCACGCACAGGAAATGGGGGTGGAACATAAAATAAGTCCTAAATGTTAGGACTAAATCACTATGGAGGCGTCACCTCTGACCCATATGGACTAAGAACGAGCACCATATGGAATTCAATACAGAGGAGAGATACCAAGAACCGCAAGCAGTCTCTTCAAAAGGAACCACAGAGTTCAAAATGACAGGGTGTTGTCCATCATGATAAAACTTTGCCTCTGTCTCTGAGGCAATATTTCCCCAAAGAACTGTCTCGTTTGCAGAGTTTCCACACTTTTTTATTTAATGTATTTTGAGACGGAGTTCCGTTCTGCCCACCCAGGCTGTAGTGCATAGCATGATCTTGCTCATGCAACCTCTGCCCTCCCGGTTCAAGGCAAATTCTCCTGCCTCAGCTCCCGAGTAGCTGGGACTACAGTGCGCCACCACACCCAGCTAATTTTTTGTATTTTAGTAGAGACGGGTTTCACAATATTGGTCAGGGCTGGTCTTGAACTCCTGACCGTCAAGTGATCTGCCCGCCTTGGCTCCCAAAATGTTGAGATTACAGGCATGAGCCAACTGTGCCCAGCCTCCCACACTCTAAAGGAGTGGCTTCTCTCCTGCCCATTCCCGAGCTCTCACCTGTGATCACACCTTCGACACATTCCCGCAGTTTGGTTTCTTGCTATTTTCACCACAGTTCTTCACAGTCCAGGGCTCTTTCCCTTCCTCCAACATGGAGATAATATTCATATCAAAATATGACACAGTCCTGTTTTATAAAAAAAAGGATCAACAATGTGCTGGGGGCTTTGTCCAGAATCGCCAGCCTATGTTTACATGGAGAGGACATTACAGGTGCATCTAAAGAAAAACTTCCAAAAATTCATCCACTGGCCGGGCGTGGTGGGCTCACGCCTGTAATCCCAGCACTTTGGGAGGATCGAGGCGGGCGGATCACGAGGTCAGGAGATCGAGAACATCCTGGCTAACACGGTGAAACCCCGTCTCTACTAAAAATACAAAAAAATTAGCCGGGCGAGGTGGGCGGCCGCCTGTAGTCCCAGCTACTCGGAAGCTGAGGGCAGAGAGAATGGCGTGAACCTGGGAGGCAGAGCTTGCAGTGAGCCGAGATCATACCACTGCACTCCAGCCTGGGCGACAGAACAAGACTCTGCCACAAAAAAAAAAAAAAAAAAGTCATCCACTGAATGCCTCCTTCTGAATATGCAGGAAACACGGTAACCATGCAGATAGAAGACTGCTATTCCACTAAGCGACTTAATCCAAAGCAGAGAGGTAGAAAACAGCAAATCTGACGTTTCAAAAGTCTAACACAATGTATCTTATGCATACAGAAGCTCGGAAATCTCAAATGATGAAGCACAAAGGAGGCAGAACATCTGAAAAAGGGGAAGATTAAAGTCCAGGTTTCCCAATGATGAAGCTTTCCATTTCGAGTCAACAGGAACTTCAATCTCAGTCAAGCAATGCAGGGGGTCTCCAGGGACTCATAAGGGAAAATGCAGCAAATAGACAGAGAACAGATCTTGAACTTCTGGAAGAAAGTCATCCTCACCCAGAGAAACCAGGTTCCAGTAAGTTCTCCAACATCACGTCCCTGTATAGAGTCCTCTGAGGCAGGGTCCAGGCCATTTCCACTCCTCCTGAGAGAATTCTATGGCCCACATCCCTAAATGTCAACCGTACTAAAATGAAAAACACATTTCACCAAGTGGCTAAGGGGAGAGTTCAAAACTTCACATAAAAGGAGAAAGAGGAGAAAACTGTGAGAAATAGGTTAATTGAAGTGGGTGAGCTGACAGATTCCAGATTGTGACAATGTGACATACAGATTTGGTCTTCATCCCCCTCTCCTGACATAAGAGGTCTCTTGAAATCTGTGGAGTGATAAGTGTCTTTTGTAACATTAATGGGATAATTGGTGGCTGGAGCACCTAGGTAGTGCTTCAGGATGGAGAGCGCGTCACTGGAACTAAGGCTCAGAGGGTGGTCACTGGAAAGACTGAGCTTGGTTAGACTAAGCCTCTGTCCTCTCAGGAGGGCAGAGGGAATGAAGGTTCAGTTGATCACCAATGCTAATGATGGGAGCAATGCCTCCATAATGGGGCCTCCATGAAAACTCAAAAGACAGAATACGTCCCAGCTCCTCACTCCTCTCCCAGACCTCAGCTAATAGATCACTTCCATCTAGATGTTCATCTGTGTGCTTTGTAGTATCTTCTTTTATAAATGGGTAGATATAAGTAAAGTGTGTCCCTGTGTTCTGTGAGCCACTCAAGTAAACTAATCAATTCCAAGGAGGGGGCCACCGGAATTCACAATTCACAGTTGGTCATTGAGAAGCACAGGCCACAACCTGTGTTTGCGACTGGCATGAAAGTGTGTGTGCTGTTGTGGGACTGAACCCTCAGCCTATGGGAGCTGACCCTATATCCAGATAGACAGTGTCAGAATCGAATATAAGAACACCCATGTGGGGTCTGTTGCAGAACTGTTTATTTGATGTGTAGAGGAAAATCCAATACCTCCAAGATCACAGAAGTATTCATATTATGGAAGCAAAGTAGGAGAAACTGAGTCTGTTTTTCGCATATTTCCCTACACATTAAGGACTTTTGAGCAAGTTATGTCTCCCTAATTCTGTTTGATTATTCTTTTACCTAAGAGGTTGTGATATCCTCTATATTAGTGTCCATTTCTCAGTTTTATGGGCAATAAGTATACAAATAAAAAACTGAAAACAAGGTTATCTCTATGGAAGTGTTAGATATTATGTTTCACATACTGAGTGATATTCAATATCTACATGAACTAAAGCACAACTGATACCTTAAGAAATGATAATGCGGCTGGGCGTGGTGGCTCACGCCTGTAATCTAGCACTTTGAAAGGCCGAGGCGGGTGGATCGCTTGAGGTCAGGAGTTCAAGACCAGCCTGGCCAACATGGTGAAACCCCATCTCTACTAAAAATACAAAAATTAGCCAGGCATGGTGGCAGGTGCCTGTAATCCAAGCTATTCAGGAGGCTAAGGCAGGAGAATCACTTAAACCCAGGAGGTGGAAGTTGCAGTGAGCCGAGATCACGCCACTGCACTCCAGCCTGGGCGAAAGAGTGAGACTCCATCTCAAAAAAAAAAAAAAAAAAAAAAAGAAAGAAAACTGTACTGAAGTGATGCTGTCTATAAGACAGAGGAGTAGGAAGTCCCAACCACTACCCATGGAGACACAGATTTCATGACACTGCATGGACTAAATTGCCTTTGTGGGAAATCTGGCAACCACATCAGAGGTTAGAACTCTTTTGAAACACCTACTCACCTGAGGCCCTGCCCTGGCATGATGCAGTATCCCTGTGAGAAAACCACACTTCCATTTTCTCCTGGGGAGAGAAAGTACGGGAATATCCATCTAACATTCGGACTTCTTTTTTTCTCTTTTTTCCTGTAATACCACACAAGGCTCATAACGTTCTGACTTTTCAGGGCACTGCTAAGGGACAAGTTTCTGTCTTGCCTGAATACAAACACTGAAGTAACAGGACCCCAGGTAAGGAAGCTACTGAGAACAAAGCCATCCATCATAAACCAGAGCTTGTAGTAACGTAGGCAGACACTAGGTGGCGGTGCAGCCCCCAGCTTACTAGAACACCAGCGAAGCAAAGCTGCTGGGGAACAGCCGGCAGACAACAGAGGCTTTCCCGCATACAAATTGGCACAACTGCTTTAGTTAAGCTACAAGCAAAAAGTCCCTAGAAAAGGCGTGAGGGATCTCCAGAGCCTCTAGTCAGGATGACTGTAGCATGTCTTCCCTGAAGGAAGCCAGAATCAAAAACTAGAAGTGGCTGATTAGTGAAAAGCTCAGGTCCCAACAGGAGGTAACAAGATATCAAAAGAGGCCGGGCACGGTGGCTCACGCCCGTAATCCCAGCACTTTGGGAGGCCGAGGCGGGTGGATCACGAGGTCAGGAGTTCGAGACCAGCCTGGCCAACATGGTGAAATCCCATCTCTACTTAAAATATAAAAATTAGCAGGGCATGGTGGCAGATGCCTGCAATCCCAGCTACTCAGGAGGCCG